GGTCTCCGAAGATGGCTGTCATCAATCTTCCCCTCCCTGTGTGAGTCACTCTCTCAGGGGATGTGGAGTCCATTCCTTTATGGCATTGAATCTGGGCCAGGCCTGGGACTGCTTTGACCAATGGAATGTGGAGAGAGTTCCTTTCTCTCCTCACATTCTTGCTCTCCGAAGGGCCTTCATTTCTATTTTTTTCTTTCCTCCTGTCCCTACACAAGTATTCCCAAGTCAGAGCTATAGCTTAACCCTCATTTCCACCCAGGTCCCTCTGAGCCCAGGTGTCAAAAAGGCCTGGCAGCTGCTGCTTTTATGCTCTTGGAGCCCAAGCCACATGTAAAAAGTCCAGGGTCCCCTGCTGGGAAGAGAGGCCAACACAGAGAGGTCCTGGGAGATAAGAAAGTGCTTACAGAAAGAAGCCCCTTGGAGGATCACCGAGGCACCAGGATGTGAGGAATCAGCCATGCTGGATCATATGAGGCATCCCACCCAAAGCCCCAAACAGTGTAGAGCAGGGACTAGTCATCCCTGCTGTGTCCTGTAGAGACTCCTGAGTCACAGAATCATGGGGAAAAACAAAACAGTTGCTTTAACCCACCAAGTTTTGAAGTTGTTTTGATGCATCAATAGATACTTTAAACATATTGTTAGGGTGAAGAAAACAGCATACAAATAGCCTAACACAGTGGTCGGCAAACTCATTAGTCAACAGAGTCAAATATCAACAGTACAACAACTGAAATTTCTTTTGAGAGCCAAATTTTTTAAACTTAAAACTATATAGTTAGGTACATTGTTATTAACTTAATTAGGGTACTCCTAAGCTGGCCTTTGCTAAAAACGTCCTCAATCTGATTGAGGTACGTTCGCTGAGGTCGACCCCTTCCAACTCTCCCATCCACACTCGTCTTGTATACTTGTTTCGCCTATCTCCTTTCGTTTATCTTCTCTATATGTCCAAACCATCTCAACATACCTTTCTCAATCCTCGACACTACATCTTCTTTCACTCCACAATGTTCCCTAAAATTAACTTAATAAACTTTACTTAAAGTTTTAAGTCAACTTTGCACTGTACGTGTGCGCCCGCACGTGGTATTTTGTGGAAGAGCCACACTCAAGGGGCCAAAGAGCCGCATGTGGCTCGCGAGCCATGGTTTGACGACCACTGGCCTAACATATAGGATGCCCCCCCAAAATGTATATATCACACTTTGAATAATTATAAAGGCAGTGTTTATTAAAATACATTTCATTTTTAAAATTGAGCTATCAGCTATTAAAGTGTGTATACATTTTTTGAGACACCCTGTATATACTTTTCAAAAATATATTTTTATTGATTTTAGAGAGGAAGGGAGAGGGAGAGAAAGAAACATCAATGATGAGAGAGTATCATTGATCAGTTGCCTCCTGCAGGCCTATACACTGGGATGGAGCCTGCAACCCAGGCATGTGCCCTGATCAGGAATTGAACCATGACCTCCTGGTTCATAGGTTGACACTCAACCACTGAGCCATGCCAGCTGGGCATTTTTAATATAATATTAGTGGTTACCACTGGGAGATGGGATTATGAGTACATTTTAATTTCACCTTCTGGTTTTTCAAATTTTGCACTTGTTTTTATTTTGTAACAAAAAAATGTCTTAGTATCACATTATCTTTTTTGACAAGTATTTTACACTACTGATTCACATTAAGCTTCCTGCCAACTATATGTATGGGTATACATATATATGAGTATACATATGTAATTTAACATCCTATATAATAAAGAGGTAATATGCAAATTGACCATCCTCCAACACACAAGATGGCCGCCCCCATGTGGTCAAAGATGGCCGCCCCCATGTGGACACAAGAGGGCTGGCAGGGGAGGGCAGTTGGGGGCAACCAGCCCTGCAGGGGAGGGCAGTTAGGGGCAATCTGGCTGGCAGGGGAGCAGTTAGGCATCGATCAGGCTGTCAGGGGAGTGGTTAGGGGGTGATCAGGCTGGCAGGCTGAAGCAGTTAGGGGCAATCAGGCAGGCAGACAGGCGAGCGGTTGGGAGCCAGCAGTCCTGGATTGTGAGAGGGATGTCCGATTGTCCATTTAGGCCCGATCCCACTGGGCAGTTGAACATCCCTTGAGGGGTCCCAGATTGGAGAGGGTGCAGGCTGGGCTGAGGGACACACACACCCTGTGCACGAATTTTGTGCACCGGGCCTCTAGTATAAAATAAATACATATGTTTCCAAGGGCAGTTTTAACATGGCTTCTCCTGCGATAAAAGGCCAGTAAAGAAGGTACAGGGTTTATGCTACATAAACAGAACACACCAAGGCATCTTGCCTTCAAATTCTTGGGCTCTCCCACCTGGAAACCCTGGTGGGAAAAGTTACCAATTCTCAGGCTGTCCACTTCAGTTACTCTGCTATTGTAAAGCTCCTGTGTAAGTGGTTATGGAAGAGCTGTTGCTATGGCAATGCAATCTGACTGAATACCAGAATGTGTCTAAAATTGGTACAAGTGCCTTTTTCAGGGATTCCTCTGAGGATTAATCATTTTCCAAGAACTAAATCTTTTTTCCCCCATCTCCTGTTAGAACAATGGTGCCAGAGCACCTCACCCAGTTCTAGGACAAAATGAGGAAGGGTCTGAGAAAGACAAAGCTTGATGGTTGAAAGACCAGAACCACAAAGGAGCCATTTCCTACCAGATACTCTGATCTCTTTGCACCCCCTGCCTCTTGGATGGCTTTGTCACCTTTGGACCCCCTTTGCCCCTTAGCTGCCTCAACTAGTACTGTTTGTTCACTAGTTTGTCTTTCTGGGTTTTCTCTGTGTGTCTCCTACGACCTCTTTTTCCTTTTTTGACCCCCAGTGGTAGGCATGCACTATGTCCCAATATCCATCCTCTCATTTCTCTCCTCACATTCTTACTCTCTGAAGGGCCTTCACTCCTATTTTTTTCTTTCCTGCTGTCTCTACACAAGGATTCCCAAGTCAGAGCTATAGCCTAACCCTCATTTCCACCCAAGCCCACCACCTACCTTCCTGGGGCCCACAGGATGTCCCACCTAAAAAGCTGCAACCCCCAGGATGGGGTCCTATTTACTTTTCCACTTCTTGCCCAACTTCCCCCACACCACCCACCAACATGAACTCAAAGTTCCCAGCCTGGCAATTGCTTGCAGCTTTTTTTTTTTTTTTTTTTTTGCAGTTCGTGAAAGCTACCTTGATGACTGTCTTACTCCCTGTCTTGCCCAAGCCACGTCCTCTGCCTGGAATGTCCTCCCCATCCTCCCTCCTGGTAGTGTTTCTGGAGTCTGAAAGCCTCCCCCTCAGGCTGAACTAGGTCTCCTCCTTTGTGCTCCCCACTCACTGGTACCTGTCATACTGAACATCATTGTTTAAGTCCTGTCTGTCTTCCCCCACTGGGCTGGGAGCTCTTTACAGCAGGATTGTGTCTCATTCATTGCTGGCTCCCTGGAGCCTGGCACATACAAATGCAGAAGTAGACGTGTCATCGTCATCTTAAAATCAACATTCCCAAACCACCCCACCAGCCCTGCATCCTAATGTTGCCATTTCCCACAGATTCACAGGTATGTTTGCTGGCTTCCTTTAGTTTCATTCCTCAAGGACAAGCCTTCCCTTTGTGCTTCTTATTCATCCTGACAGGGCCTGGCACTTTGCTGCCTGGGCCTGGTACAGAGTCTGGTACAGAGCAGACTGAATTGAACGGAGTTTACCCTGGAGGGCAATGCCTTGCTCCTTGTCACTACATTACATAGTTTCTCTAAACCCACTAAGGTCAGACAAGAGGCCATGGGCTCCAGGGTACCGGGAGAGAGAACTTCTATTGACCTTGGGAGCATATGGGGTGTTAGGTATAGGTGGGGGAACCACGGGAAGACCATCTAGTCCAACCCTCTCACTTTGCACAACAGGATGCCGAGACAGCAAGAGCCAGCGCTGGCACTGAGCCTGACCTTCTGACTCCCAGACTAGTGCTGTGGACAGGCTGTCTATCCTGGGGGAGAGGGGAAGGCTGACAAAGGGGCATTTGTAAGATGACCAGGGTAAGATCTGTAGGGCAGGTCCACATGCTACAGGCCTAGTGATTCACAAAAGCATCAGGACAATGAACGTGAAGGAGAGATGATTAGTACAAAGGGGTGGGGCCTGCAGTGCAGGTAGGAGCTCTGTAAGACTAAGAGTGGAACATGGGTGCCACACGATATCAAGGGTGATAATCACAATGGTCACCACGTGTGCAGAGTGCAACGGTCAGCTGGAGTTCTGCCACAGTCTGGGGAGATTCCTGTCACTAGTCAGGATTGGCAGAGGCCTGGGGGGTGTGGGGCACAGCTGTGTGCCGAGTGTGAATGTGGGTGTAGCCACCACTGTGTTTTGCTGCACAGGAATTGTTCCTGGGTGCAACTACTGCAACCAAGAGCCCCACTGGAAAGTCCAGGCTTTTCCAGAACAAAGTCAAGAAAAGGACATGCATCAGAATCCTGTATCTTATTGGGGGGAAAAAATTGAGTCCAAACACAAGTATATTAGAGCACATGATTAACATTGTAACCATACAGCCTACAGCCCTTCAAAATTATGTTATGAAGAGGTTTCAATGATCTGAGGAAATACTTAACTATATTATTTTAGGTGGAAAATGCAGGCTGAAATAAAGATATATTCAGGAACTCACCATGTAGAGCAATGAACACAGAAGGAGTATGTCCAAAATCGTCATCGATTTTAGCTGTGTTTTTTTTAAACCTAGTCTTTATTTTTTTTTCTCCTGCATATTCTAAATTTCTATGCTGAGCACATATCATTTACAGAGTGTAAAGATAATTGTTTTATTTATTTTTAAGACACTAATTGTATGCTTATAAGAAAATATAAGCTGTCAGGTTTGACTTCATTCTCTGTGGCTTTCTGCTCTGCTCTCCAGAAATGTTCTCCCCAATCCAGAGGAAGTCCCACCCCAGATGGCTCAATCCATTTACTCACATTCTGAATATTTCTGGAGTTGGTCAAATTCTTCTGAAGTGAGGGAGACCCAGCGTTCTTCACTCATCTTTAAGCTGGGTATGAGCGCTTGAGGCTGGGGATGGAGTTTTGTTCACCAGGGTGAAGCCAAGGCCCAGCCCAGGGCCTGGCTCATTGCAGGTATGCGATGGACAAGCCCTCTGGGAGATTTCTCAAGGACCACAGTGTCTATGGCAGCAGCGGGTACCTTCCAGCAGATGAGCGAAGACCTCTGCTATTCCTCAGGGAACATCCTTCTATCTGCAGTCAAGGTAAATCCAGAAACCCTTGCTCTCCCTGGGCAGAAGTAGAAAAGGCATTATGAATGAGAGCTCTGAAACACATAAGGCATCTTTTCTTATTTAAAAATCCCCAAATTTCCTTTGCTGGAAAACTTTAGGATGGGATGGTTCTCAAGGGAAGGATGTTTCCTCAGGGAAGCCTGAGGAGGTCATGGAGACAAGACCAGCACAACCCCAGACAGGTGTCTGACAGGTGGGGATAGGTGGCCTGTAGGAATAGGTAGCCATACATTTAAACTTGGAGAAATTTTAAATGTCTCCTATGAAAGGAGGTTGTAAATGCCTCAGGCTGCTGGATGCCTCATGTAAGTACAAGGACAGTAGCCTCTGTGGGGTGATTTGAAAGGTGAGCCATTCTCTCCTCCACTGACTCTAAATCCCACCTTAGAGCTGCCCACCATCCTCTGATGAGTCACTCTGGAAAGGCAAATACCCACCAAGCCTGGCTTACATCCTAGTGACTGAAGCAGCTCTCTTTCCTCTCAGAACCATAAAAGAAGTGATTAGAGAGCAGGCCTGTGGGCCCAATGCAGAAGATCCTGAAGGAGGAGAGGGAGATGGAGTCTGACAAACACTTTAACATCTTATTCTCTGAGCCTCTCCTAGCACCCTGGCTCCCACCGTCAGTCATTAAATCAGTGTAGTGGGTTGTGAAATGAATGTGGTGGGCCAAGACTAGCACTTAATAACATAGAATAGCAGAGAATGGAATGGAATGAAATGAAATGGAATTGAAAATAAGACTACATCTCCTGCCCTGGCTGGTTCGATTCTTGGTCAAGGACATGGACCTGGGTTGCAGGTTTGATCCCCAGCCCTGGGTCAGGGTGCATGTGCGGGAGATAACCAATTAATGTTTCTCTCTCTCTCCTTCTCCTTCTCCCTTTCACTCTGTCAACAGGGGAAAATATCAACAGGGGAAAATATCCTCAGGTGAGGATTAACAAAAAACAAACAAAAAGAGTACATCTCCTTTCAGTTATATATACATGTGTATAATGATCATAATGTAAAATATACTTCTTATTCTCAGTTGAGGTTTAAAAAATGTTGGAAAGCCACCAACCAACCTAATAGGAGGAGAAATAAAGACCAGTGTTACCAAAGAATGAGCCCAGTTTCAACAAAATAGGATCCATTGTGGAGAATCGGACTTCAAGGCAGATCTGGGGAGCCTGAGGCACATGAGAAATGGCAGAGGAGCTGGAGGAAACCACCCAATGAGGAGACAGATTTGTACAGTTCTCTGGAAGAGTGGACCTGGAAGGCTAAACTAGAGCTGGAGGGAGATTTGGGCTCTGTAAAGACCTTCCATCAATCAGAGCTCTCCAACAGTAGGTGGGAATGCATGACCAGGGAGTGAGAAGCCTGCATCCAAGTTCTAGTTTCTCTCATTAAAAAGTCCAATTCTCTCCTGAATCTACCAGCCAACTGGATTCCTCCTTGGCACCTGCTCTTGCCAAGGTCCCCAGTAACCTCATTGCCAAATCCAACAGGCACGTTGCAGGCCTTCCTTACTTCATTTTCTCTCTCTGCAGACCTTGCCATGGCACAAAACAACCACCTTGAGCTTCTTTTATCTTTATGAGTGTTCCTCCTCAGTCTCCTCTGCCTCTCCTTTTGCCATCATTATATATTGGAGTTTCCAGAATCCGGTCCTGAGCCCTCTCCTCATTCTACATCCCTCCCCTTAGGGCTCTCATCCTCCTCCACAGATTCAGTGACTCCCAGGCATGCTTCTCTGACCTGCACTCTCTCTTCACTCTGATCTGAATATCCAGCTGTCACTGGGACTCCCCTGTATATCCCAAGCTATTCCAAATTGGCCCTTTCCCATGCCCCCCACCTGCCTCTCCTCTGCATTCTGGTTGTGCCCTGAGAGGAACCAATACTCAGCTTGAGCACCTCCCCCTTCCTTTCCTTCCAACTCTGGGCACCAGTCCCAGAGAGTGACTGTCCACTGTGTGTTCCCTCCTCTACATCACACCAGCTGGTCCATTGACTCAGACCCTCGTCTTCTCTCGCCTGGTTTCTGACAACAGCATCCTGCTGCTCTCCCTGCCTTGGGCTTTGCTCTCCTCCCCTTGGTTGGCTCTAAATTGCCAACCAGATCATATCTCTCTCAGTAATAAAATTCTTCAGTGGTTTCTATTGCCTATAGAATTGGATGTAATCTCCTTTACATGATACACAAAGCTCTTTATGATCTGGCCTCTGATTTTCATTTCAGTCCAAAATTGAGGGGTAACCTTTAAAAACATTTTCCATCATACCAGGGAATTTAACATCACAACTGGTATTACCACTGCTGCTGAACACTTATTTCTCACTGTGCTCTATGCTTTACATCTATTATCTAAGGTAGTCCTCACGACAACCATGTAAAAGAAGCTATGCCTCTTCCCTTTTAGATAAGGAAAATGAGGCAAGGCGTTTAGTGGATATGGTGAGGAGAAAGTAGGAAGCCCAATGCTTTTGTGTAAGAATGCTTCTCTGATATATATTCCGCATACTTTCAGAAGCATAGCGCTCTAAGAGGGCCCAGAGACACACTGCATGAGAGAACTACATGAAACTCAAAATCAGAAGGCAGGAGATCTGAATCCTGGCCATGACTCTTATAACTATTTAACATTAGACAAATTTTTTGTTTCTTGACCCTTGGTTTCTTTATCTTAAAAATGGGAATACTAATTAAAAACTTCACTGAGTTAGTGTTATGGTTAACTCGGGTAATATATGCAAAAAATCTACCCCCCAAACCCTACCTAGCACAATGCCTATCATACCATGGGCACTCAATAAATAATCATTGCTATCATCCTATTGCAAATACAACACAGCAATATGACTTAAATAACCAGGTGAGTGCAATTGGGTACAAAGTCTTTATGTACTTGATTTTATCCTGCTCCAGGTTGTTGTAATTTTGTAATTACTCATCAAACTTTTATCCACTAGTTTAGCATTCACTGATGATTTTTGACAGGATTAATTATTACTATGATAGTGCATTTCTAATCCCATTGTTCCTTTTTTATTTATTAGTTGGGATTCTACTGAGGAAGAGTTTTCTCCATTACTTCTTTATATCAGTTTATTTATACATTTTAATTTATACTATAAATATTACATATTGTATAAAGAAATATTAAATACTAAAGGCCCAGTACACTAAATTCATGCACTCAGGGGGGTTGCTTAGCCTGGCCTGTGCCCTCTTGCAGTCCGGGAGCCCTCAGGGGATGTCTGACTGATGGCTTAGGCCCGCTCCCTGCGGGGAGCACAGTCAGACATCCTTAGCGCTGCTGTGGAGATGGGAGAGGCTCCCACCACCACCGCTGTGCTCGCCAGCCATGAGCCTGGCTTCTGGCTGAGTGGCGCTTCCCCTGTGGGAGCACACTGACCACCAGGGGGCAGCTCCTGCATTAAGCTTCTGCCCCTCTTGTGGTCAGTGTGCATCATATTGACTGGTCGTTCTGCCATTCGGTTGATTTGCACATTAGCCTTTTATTATATAGGGTAAACATAATATATAAGAATATAAATAATATATAAATATGTATAAATGTATATTGTATTTAGATTTTATATATCTACTTATATTAATGGATTCTTATTTTATTCAATGGGTTATAATTCATTGCTATCATTATTTGTTTTGATTCTTGAATTGCCCCAGATTTGGTCAGTGAAAGCTCATTTGACATGGTTCTTTGTTCTTTAGACATAGACCTATCATTCTGTGAGCACATCTTTATTTTCAGGGACTACAAAATGTTTCAGGCTTATCTTGTCCTTCCTCAGTCCTAGTCCTGAAATCAGCCATTTCTCCAAAGCCCTGATTTCTTTTAGTGGAGAATCATATTTGAAACCAAGGTGTGAGCACTAGTTGTGCTCATTGTTACTGGGGTGGCATTGGTTTTAGGCCATGAAAGGGACAGAGTTAGGAAATACATGCATGTATACACACACATCTCATCTCTGGGTATCTATCATCTATCTATCTATCTATCTATCTATCTATCTATCTATCTACCTACCTACCTATCCATCTGTGGATTGTCTTTCACACATTGTTTTGTTTTGTTTTCCACTTAACCATGTATCCTATGAATCACTCCATATCTGTTCAAGAGATCTTCCTCATTTAGAACCAAGTTTGACTCCAACACTTACCTGCTTACATCCTCCAGAGGCCTCTCTTAGCCTCCAGGATAAAGAGCAAGCTCTTTAGCCAGTTCCAGAAGATTCTTTATCCATGGTACAGCTCACATCCCCAACGTCACCCCAATTACCTCCTGCCCCACCTGCTCCACATTCCAGCCAAATCAACCTATTCCCTACTCTTAGCATGTGGTGTCACATGATAGGACCTCCCAAACAGTAGTTAATGGACTGACAAACACACCGTGCCTTTAATCTACCTGGAATGCCCTTTACTCCTGCCTTCCCATAGCGAACCACTACTCATATGTCTGGTTCTGCTTTTTTCCTATAGGTATTTGAACTCTTTGAGCAAACTAAGCTCTTCTCCCAGCTGTGTTCCCATAAATCCTCTTTATTTCTCTATCGTGGTAGCTGACAGTCTTGTGTTAGAGACAGATACCCCAAAAGATAATTAACATGTGACTTGGTGAGAGTAGTGGTACAGATATGTACAGGGAAGTATGGGGCCATCTAATGCATCTGGAGCAGACACAGGGGAGTAGAATAAGAGCCCTGAAGGAGCTGAGAAGGGGTAACAAGATAAAGAGATATATGTTGCAATAACTCAACAAAAACTCATGTTATTATCTCTGTTGTGCCATTGTAGCTCAGTGCTTGGCTTCTTGGTGAATGGGGCTATACGATTCTCTATTTTCATCAGGAAAAGTTAAAGGCAGGAAATGCTGCCTGGCTCTCCAAATGGTACCTGCTGACCATCCTCTCACATGACAGCCCCCTCTGATTCTATGCCCTTTGATAAAGATGACAGCTAACATACAAGAGGCC